AGTCCTCTCCAGGAGATCGAGAATAGTCCCTACCTTTGTCACCTCTGGACATACAAAGCTGCCTAGGTATGCCTGCATGGCGGTAACCCAATCTAAAACATCCACTTTGGGGTCTTCCCCAGAATACATGGGATGTGGTGTCAGCTTGGGCTGCCACTGATCAGATGTACCAGAGGCGGCAGGGGTAGTGGACATATGAGAACCAGCAGGTGAAGAGGCCGACTGTGAGCTGGTGTGGAGGGCGCTGGGGAAGGTTGAGGAGGTTTGGGAGAAGGGACAGGTAGCTGTAGATGCTGCAAAATGCTGTTCACACTTGTCGTCCGGGACTCAAGGCTAGCTGTCACCTTGTCAACCTTGCGGTCTATGGAAGAACCTTGGGTCTCGAGGGCGAGTATCCTCTGGTCCCAGTTAGAAAAGTAGGACCTGTTGATGGTGTCCGTCGGGAGCACCAATTCAGCAGTATCCTTACTATACTGACTGGATGTACCACTGGTGACAACCTTCTCAACTTCTTTGTGTAGTTGTCTCCTCCTCTCTTCATTTCTACTAGCCTCCTGAGCTTCCGAGTCCTCCATCTCCTTCTTCAGCCGTTGGATCTGGGCCTCTGCCTTGAGGCGAGCTTGCTCAACCTCAAGCAGGGCCTGCTCCAGGGGAGAGAGAGGAACCTGAGGAGAGCTAGTAAAAGTTTCTTCTCCCTCAATCTTTGTCTCAGTGTCAGACAGACATAATGAACCACTCAAACAGTCAAATAAATAAGGATAAGCAGAAACAAGGTCAGCAGAGCTTAAGATTACACACACATACACTGATGTAATGATTGCCACCTGATGAGAAGAGACGTGGTGTAAAGGGCAGAAGAGCGCTCAGCCTCTGTAGGTCGCTGAGGGCTTTTCTGGGTCAGTTTAGGGAAAATCCAGATAAAATCAGACTTGCGATTTTTCATTCACAGCCTAGAACCCTCATCTGAGTGTAATAACCCCAGAATCATTGTCAGAAGGTTAGACAGGATGCAACCTTGGACCGTAAGTAGAACGTCAGAATAGCGCAAAGAGTCGGTAGCAATCAATAGAACCTAGTAGTCAACCAAGATGCAGCGGATGACTGATCAAGCTATTTTTAGACTCCTACTACTTACACTGGCACTGTAGGACCCTGTATGCCCCACTATGGGTGAGGCGAAGTACAGATATCATTGTACATGACTCTAAACATCAAATCCAGTATAGCGCTTTCAGACACTAACTCAATACTGAATTGGGATTTCAAGGTGACTGACGGACTGAAATTCTGACGGACAGAACCTAAGATATGACAAACCCTAGTTGCCCCAAGCACTGGCTATGGCAGCGCAATACTCATAATTCCATTATCATTGACATCCAGACCCTGAACTACTCAATTCACAGTGTGTTCTGAATCGCAATACTGTAATACAGTTTGAGATGCAATTTAAGACAGAGAGGAGGTCAAACAGAGTCAATAGAAGTCAAAGTAGATAGGTAGGGGAGATAGCTATGGCTGTCAGACAGTGCGATTTTCAAGTTTTACTGTCTACAGACATACAATTTTAATATCCCCAACTATCAGACTTGCCACAAACACTTGAGTGAGGAACACACTTACTTCAGGTCAAATAACTGGAAGAAGAAGAAGAACTGGCTATTGCTGCCATCTCGCCAGTTTCTTCAATTCACTGTTCCTGGTGCTCCCACGTTCCAAATCTCTTGAAACTTGGTGATACTGTAGTTCTTGATATGGCGATTAACCTCCACCAATCAGATTCACCGTATCTCACCCAGAATCTGGAACTCGACATAGCCCCAGGTATCTCGCCACCAGCAGAGTCAACGCCTGGGCAAAAAATAGCCCCTCAGTGCCTCCCAGGCCACTGAGCACTGAATTGCCACCAATTTCTATGTCATACCAACCGCCACACACTCTTCACCAACACCCTACTGAGCGCAATCCTGAAGATGCGGTTTCAACATGAAACCTGACGTCATAAGCTCTCAGGTAGTGATGGCTGCCTCAGTCCATCATCTCGCCACTAACTGGGTCCGATCCGCTCTAATATTAACTGTTATGAACATGATTGTCTGTTGAAATTTTATCAACACTTACTCATATGAACTCCCGTACACGCCCATACATGCACAAAAGGAAGGGGAGAGGTAGTGGAGGGTCACACCGCCCAGAAAGGAAAACGCAGTGGAAGACTAAGAGAAGCGAAGTGACAGAATACACAAACTGTGAATTCTCTCCACACAAATCCCAACAATCATTCATAGAAGACCACCGAGTGATCACAACCAGAAATCAATGAAGAGATGACAACTCTAACACAGTAATACAACTGTTTATTAAACTCAGAGCATCGTTTCCACTAAATAACCTCAGAACCCTGTTGTGCTACCCTCAGAGGGGTAGCGCCTCAACCCCACCACCCGGAACAACTAAAAATAGCACCGAAACCCCAGGTAACAC